TTTTTTTGCAGTTTTTGGCCAGGGCTGGGTTTGAACTCACTACCTCTGGCATATGAGGCTGGCACCTTACTCCTTTGAACCACAGGCGCCGCCCTTATTTACTTATTTATTTATACATACAGAGCCTCAAGCTCTTGCCCTGGATAGAGTGCTGTGGCATCATAGCTCACAGCAACCTCCAACTCCTGGGCTTAAGCGATTTTCTTGCCTCAGCCTCCCAAGTAGCTGGGACTACAGGCTCCCGCCACAACGCCCAGCTGTTTTTCAGTTGTAGTTGTCATTGTTGTTTGGCAGCCCCAGGCTGGATTCAAACCCGCCAGCTCTGGTGTATGTGGCTGGCGCCTTAGCTGCTTGAGCTACAGGTGCTGACCTGCTTTGTATTCTTTTTAAGAATTATTAAAATAATAGAGGGATACATTCTTGCTATGAAATAATTCAAACAATATAGATAGCTAAGGTCAAATTCTCCCTTGACAATCATCCCGCTTTCTTTTTTCCAACCAATACCAGTCTATCCCCAGAAGTGAACATAATCTATCATCACACACACACACACAAAGGTACAGCATTGCATTTAATTCCCACCCCCATACTCCCAGGCTGGGGCAGCCTGCTCCATCTGTGGTTTGTTTAACATTGTGTTAGAGATCTCTCACAACTGCACATATGTATACACCTCATTTATTTTAATAGCTGCATGTCATACTGTAATTTCATTAAAGAGTCTCCATATTGATGGAGCTTTATGTTGTTCCTACCTTTTTATTATCACAAATTGGTATGGTACATTCCTGGTACAGGCCTTTCTGTACATAGAATAGGAATATTTCCTTAAAATAAAGTCCAACACAGAATTATTAGTTTGAAGGGCATATGAATTTTAATTTGCAGAAGTATGGTCAAATTATGCTTCTAAAAAGCTTTACCAATTTACATTCCTTCTGACAGTGAAAATGCTTATCATAATCAAGATATATATTGCCATTATTCAAAAAAGTTCTTTTGGACACCTTTGCATTTTAATTGGCACACTCCTATTGCTTCTCTCTCTCTTTCTCTCTTTTCTTTCTTTCAGCACATTAGTATTCTGATCCCAGGTAACCATTCATCTGCTTCCTTTCACTGTTAGATTCATTTTGCCTGGTCTAGAATTTCACAGAAATGCAATTATACTGTAGGTAGTCTTTATGTCTGGCTTCTTTTGCTTAGTCTAATGTTTCTAAGATTCACCCATATTGTCATGAATATCATTAGTCTGTTTCTTTTTATTGCTGAGTAGCATTCCAAAGTATGAATATATTACCATTTGTATATCCATTCATTGGTTTTTGGACATTTGGATTGTTTCCAGGTTTTGCTATAATGAATAAAGCTATCATGAACATTTGCACTTGCATGTAGGTATTTTTGTAGATGTGCACATTCATGTCTTATGGGTCATATAGTAAGTATATATTGAACATTATAAGAAACTGCCAAACTGTTTTTCAAAGCGGTTATGCCATTTTATACTTCCACCAGCAACATATGAGAATTCTAGTTGTTCCATAGCCTCACCAACACTTAAACCAGCCCTCTTAGTCATTGTAATGGGTGTGTAGTGGTATCACATTGTGGCTTTAATTTGCATTTCTCGGACAGTGATGTTGAACCAATTATTGCCTATTTGTACATCCTCTTTGTGAAGTATCTGTCCCAGACTTCTGGCCATTTAAGAAATTGGGTTAGCTGAGCGTGGTGGTTCACGCCTCTAGTCCTAGCATTCTGGGAGGCCGAGGCAGGTAGATCGCCTGAGCTCACAGGTTCAAGACCAGCCTGAGCAAGATCGAGACCCCCATCTCTAAAAATAGTCAGGTGTTGTGGTGGGTGCCTGTAGTCCCAGCTACTCAGGAGGCTGAGACAAGAGAATTGCTTGAGTCTAAGAGTTTGAGGTTGCTGTGAGCTATGATGCCACAGCAATCTATCAAGGGGCAACAAAGTGAGACTGTGTCTCAAAAAAAAAAGAAAGAACCTGGGTTACTTTATTGTTGAACTGTAAGAGTGTTATAAGTTATGTACATATGTCCTTTGTCAGGTTGTTTTGCAACGATTTCCTCTAGTGGTAAAAAATATTTTCTACCCTACATAAATGATGTTCACACAGAAACTTATACACCAATATTTTTAGCAGCTCTATTTATACTTACCTGAAACGGCAAACAATCTAGATCTTTCAGTGGCTGGATGAATAAACAAACGGTGGTGCATTCATGCAATACACATGCAATACCCACTCAGGAGTGAAAAGGAAGAACTTATTGATACTTGTAACATCTTGGATGAATCCCAAGGACATTATGGTGACTGAAAGAAGTTGCTCTCAATGGTTCCATACTATATGATTCCATTTGTGTGACAGCCTCAGAAATACTGAACTACAGTGAAAAAGAACAGATTGGTGGTTGCCAGAATCAGCGGTGAGGGTGGGAGTGGCTACAAAAGGGCAACATGAAGGAATTTGGGGGGGTGATGGAAATGCTCTGTGCCCTGATTCTGATGGCAGTTACATAAATCTATAGATGTGTTAAAATTAATAAATTAACAATTAATAAAACATTAATGAAGAAAATGCCGTAACCAATAAAGCATTGATGTATAGGTGCCTATGAAGGTTGAGTTTTGAATGGAAAAAATGTGACAGGAAATACATGCATCTTTAATGCTGGTGACTTCTGGGGGGGCAAAAATGATCAAGTTTTTATGGTACATTTTTATATTATTTTAATTATTTTGATTGGTTTGTAGTAATTTTGAAATTTGAAAAAATGTACTGCAATTGGAAAACATCAGGAAAAGTGTTTAAAAAGAAGAAAAAGAGTATTTCTGCTTTACGGAACACCTGGTGGTACGGTAGCGAACAAGACAAATGCATCTCCATTCTTGTGGAGCACAGCCTGGTACAGTCCAGTCCTCACATCTTACAGATGGTTCATCTGCAAAATGTGTCTAGAAGGAATTTTTATAAGGATAAATATTTAACATATGCTCAAAACAGTGTCTGGTACAAATGAATAAATGTAACACAAGCTGCTATCTATATATCATCGATGAACTGGGAGAATAACTGCTGTCACATTATTATGATTTTATGATTACATAAAAGTGCCTGTCATGGGTGGCGCCTGTGGCTCAGTGGGTAGGGTGCCAGCCCCATATACCGAGGGTGGCGTGTTCAAACCTGGCCCTGGCCAAACTGCAACCAAAAAATAGCCGGGTGTTGTGGCAGGCACCTGTAGTCCCAGCTACTCAGGAGGCTGAGGCAAAAGAATCGCCTAAGCCCAGGAGTTGGAGGTTGCTGTGAGCTGTGACAACACAGCACTCTACGAAGGGCAATAAAGTGAGACTCTGTCTCAAAAAAAAAAAGCGTCTGTCATGTAACAGGGGCTCAGCAAATGTCAGTTTCCTTAGCATTTGGAGCCTAGGCACTGGGATGGGGGGGAAAGGGCAAGGATACATTCTTGGTTTGATGCTTTTCTGGTTTCTTCAATTATCTGTTTTCTTTTTGGGGGGGGGCACCAAAATTTAGATTTGCCCATCTTTGTGGCTTCTTTTAACATTATAAACATTATAAACCAAATTAATCTCTTTTTAACCCAAGTTTGTGATAGGAACCTCATGTTACAAAGTAGTGTCAGATTTATGCCTGCTTTTGTTTTTTTGGCCCCCTCCAACCCGTGGCTGTCACATGTCCTTTCTTGGTTGTCCCTTAAGAGTCTATTCTAACCCCTAAAAAATAGGGACTGAAAGTACCAACCTTGTTGTTATGAGGGTTAAGAGAAAGCCAGGCTCTTGGGAACATTCAAACTCCCAGTGATTCCCTTCAGTAAAGCTCCTTCTCAGGTTGGGTGTGGTGGCTCACGCCTATAATCCTAACACTTTGGGAGACTGAAGCAGGAGGCTCACTTAAGGTCAGGAGTTCAAGACCAGCCTAAGCAAGAGTGAGACCCCATCTTTACAAAAAATAGAATAATCAGCCAGACATGGTGGGATGAGCCCATAGTCCCAGCTACTCAGGAGGCTGATAGGAGAATCACTTGAACCCAAGTGAGAGTTTGAGGTTGAAGTGAGCTATGATGATACCACTACACTCTAGGCAACAAGACAAAGCAAGACCCTATTTCAAAATAATAAAAAATTAAAAAAATAAAGCTTATTCTCATCTGTCATGGTCTGATGGACTAGTTAACCTATAAACCAAACACATGGGCCTGTAGGCTAGGTGAAAGTCTAGAGGATAAGATACATGGGTTTTGTGACCACCACTACCAACTTCCAGCCTAAAGGACTGACTAGTGAGCAGTTCCACACTCGGCAGCCATAGAGGTTGTCAAACTTGCTCTTGATGACAGAGTCATGGACATTGATGACAGGCACTTTCAGGATCCCACTGGCCATCATCTATAGGTTGTAGACCCCAGTTGTGGTCTCCTCAGAGATTCCTCGGATGCCCGACAGGAGCTGTGGGTACTTGGTGTGGATAAGGTTGGTAAGGTCACTACCATCATCCAAAACCATGTTGAGAGGCCTGTCCTTGAAGTACAACGTCTATTTGATGCACCACAGGTACTCCTCGTCCGTCTCACCCTCCCAGGCAATACACTGGAGTGCCTGCCTTGGCAATGGCAGCTGCTGCATGGTCCTGGGTGGAGAAGATGTTGCAGCTAGACCACTGCACCGACTGTGTAGGGCAATTTGTCAGATATGATGGCAGTGCTTCCGCACACAGTGATGGACATGGGCTAAGGGGGCGGGCCTAGCACTGGGAACGGTTGTCAGCAGGCGGCGGGAAGGGCAATTATCTGTTTTTCTTGGCCTTGCTATCTTTCTAACTTCAGGGAAGCCTCTCCCTCCTTCTCCTCCATAGGTTGACCTATCACTCTCCCTCAGGACCTAGGCATTGGGTGTTTCCCTCTTAGGCTGATATTTGACTCCCTGCCTACATCTGGTTTGGCACAGAGGGACATACATAGTCTGAAGAGTGTGGGTGTGCCATACACAGCGTTTTTGGACCTGCAGGTGAGCCCAACTTGGGGGAAATGTGACCTTAGAACAGGGCAAAATTGTAAAGGTTTTGGAAAGGAAGCAGCCTTGCAAGGCACAAGAGATTTTTAAGGAGAGTGAGAGGACTAGGGGAAATACCCAGGGATGAATGAAACAGATACTTAAATTCTACCTTTTTTTACTCTAACCAGGCAGATGGCCCTTCTTCAGGCCAACGAAGATCTCATTTCTGCAGGAGTGAAGGAATTTAATATTTTGCTAAATCAACAGGTAAGTCCAGGCACTCTGTTTCCAAGGACAGGCCTGGAGATAGGAGTTGTGGGGAGTAGGGGAGATGAGGACAGAGAAGAGGGGATAATTTGGAGTTGGGAGGTAACGGTGGAGTTGATGGACACAGAAACAGGAATACAAACCAGAGGAAAGAGGATGTGAGAGTTTGTGGGACTCTCCTAGGTATTCCTGAATCATATTGCTGACCACATTCTCCTTTGCCAACTCACCCTTCCCAATCCCCCAGGTCTTTAATGAACCTTTTGTCTCTGAAGAAGCCATGGAAACTGTAGTGAATGACTGGGTGAACTTCTACATGAACTATTACAAGAAGCAGATGACAGGAGAGCAGGGAGAGCAAGAGAAGGCTCTGCAGGAACTTAAGCAGAAGCTGAATTCTCTGGCCAACCCTTTCCTGGCCAAGTATAGGGCCTTCCTGAAGTCCTGTGAGCACCTAAATCACCCACCGCCTTCCCCCTAGACCACAGAATCTTCGTTTCTAAGAAACTCTGTGTCCTTCCTTCCACAGGCTGTGCTCCTTCAATGTCACTCTACCTTGACCTCTCAATAAAGACCACTACTGGTTTTACTGGACTTCTGGCTCTTTTCCATTGTCTGTCCTGAGTTGCGGAAGCAGTTGGTCCCTTTTACTTCAGTTTGCTTCTCAGGTACCATCTTGGAGCTTAATTCCTTTAAGTAACCATTAGGCAGTAACAAAACTGGCTCAACCGGGGCCAAGCAGGGACTACAGAGAAAGTGTTCGGGCAAGGGGGTGGTAGAAAAAAGCAAGGGGGATAAAAGCCCTCCAGTGTCCTGTGACACACGTTCCTAGGAGGAAGCTGTTGGAAGCCTTCCAGTCTTGGTCACCTTGCGCCAAGTCCACAGCCTGGATTATTCAATCCCCTTCCCTTAGCCCCAGCCTAAACAACTTTTTAGCTAGAAATGTTCTGATTCTGACTTTAAAACTACCACAGAATACCTGCCCTGCAGTAGCCATTCAATACTTCCCTTATATTTCGGATGCGGTGACCCCTTCCTTTAGCTCCATCATCACTTGGCTCGAGACCCCAGGATTGGGAAGCAGAGAAACCCGCCTTCCCTGCTGTCCCAGCTTTCTCCTGTCACTTTCCGGTCTAGGCTCTCTTTCCCTCAGACCTCTTTATTTTAGGGCTCAGGGCCGCGCCAGGCTCATAGCTTTTTAAATAAGGGCGTTAGGCCACTCGGGGTGTCCTCACTCAAAGTCTGGGGCACAGAGCAGCCGCGCGCGGGCGGGAGACGCGCGCGGGGCGCGCTGGGTGGGAGGGTCGCGGGGCGTCAGGGGCGGTGCTAAGAGGCGGAGCGCACCAATCAGAGGCCGGGCAGGGCGCGCCCGGGAAGGTGGCGGGAGTTCTCCTGGACTGTTCCCGCTTCTTGGGGAAAAGTTTGGTCCTGAGAGGTTGTTCTCTCGCTCCAACCTCCAGCGGCTTTCCCCTTGGATCTGTGAATCTTCACCTCCGACTTTTGATTTTTGGGTCTTTGCAGTTTGAATTAGGGTGAAAAGGAAACTGGCTCAGTATCCCCAACCATCCTTCTAACCTCACACCCTGCATGAGAGCGGCAGCTGCCCGGGAAAGAGACAGCGAGCCCCTCGGAGCTGTGGTCCAGGAGGAGGTCCTGGCCTTCCCACTGCACTCCTCAGGAAAATCTCAGCCGGTTAATGGAGACCCCGAGCCCACTCAGATGGGACAGTAAACAGCCTCACCTTTGCAAAAAGACCTGGACTAGTGTGCATGAGCGGGGGAGAGTGACTGAGAAACTATATGGAAAAAAGTACGGTGTTCCCTCCTGCTGACACTCAAATTCACGGATGTTCAACTCTCTCATATAATATGGTAGTATTTACATAAAACTTGCTCACATCCTCCCATACACCTTAAGTGATCTCTAGCTTAATTATAATACCTAATACAATGTGAAGCTATGTAAATAGTTATCATCCTCTATTGTTTAGGGAATAATGACAAGGAAAAAGAGTCTGTATCTGTTCAGTGAGGAAGCCATCCAGTTCTTGCCTTAAATATTTTTCATCTGTGGTGGTTGGTTGAATCCACAGATGCAGACCCCAAAGACTTGGAGGGCCCACTGTACTGGATTTACTGTGTTGGATTGTACCGCTTAGCTGAAAACAATGGTCAGAAGCCACTTTGGCTCACTAATGCAGACAAACTTTCCATAAATTTAGAACTCTCCAGCTTCGGGACCTGTTTAGTTAATCATTCCTCATGTGTTCAAAGGAAGATGATCAATTATCAGGTATGTAGTAAAAAATGTTCTTACAGAGGATGTGAAGTTCAGCATCTAAACTCCATTCCAACCATTTCACAGGTTGTGAAATTGAATAATTATGAAAAGCGTATTTTTAGGACGGAAAAACCTAACTGCGCTTCCTGTTTTCACATTCCTTTCATTCAAGTGTCTGGTTGGAAATGTACGAGAAGTAAAATTTGGAACATTTTGATTTTTCAGAGATGGTGGTATGAATCTTTGGGATCGTCACCCTGATGTTTGATCCTGACTCTTGGGGCTAACCCCGAACTTGAGTCTCACCTTTAACCTCCCTTACTCCTGACCATTATAGACACATTATCCTCACCATGACTCTGACTTTCATGCTGACATTGTCTCTCATTCTCAATCTTACACTGATCCCGATGCTAAAGTGGCACAAAAATAGAGACATAGATCTATGGAATAAAATAGAGAACCTAGAGATGAAACCAGATGTTAATTGCCATCTGATCTTTGATAAACCAAACAAAAGCATACACTGGGGAAAAGAATCCCTGTTTAATGAATGGTGCTGGAAGAACTGGTTAGCCACAGGTAGAAAGGGAGGGGAAAGGAAGGGAAGGGAGGCCACACAGACCTCATTATACCCCCTCCCCTTTGGAGATTAAGTACAACAATTGACCAGCATTAATGTTAAAACAGAGATCATAAGACTGAAAAAAAAAAGATTCTGTAACAGTAAGATACTGAATTTTTTTTTGGGGGGGACAGAGTCTCACTTTGTTGTCCTCAATAGAGTGCCATGGCGTCACAGTTCACAGCAACTTCCAGCTCTTGGGCTTAGGCAATTCTCTTGCCTCAGCCTCCGGAGTAGCTGGGACTACACAATGCTTGGCTATTTTTTTTTTTTTTGTTCTTGCAGTTTGCTGGGGCAGGTTTGAAACTGCTACCCTCAGCATATGGGGCCAGCGCCCTACTCACTGAACCACAAGTGCCACCCCAATTTTTTTATTTTTTGAAACAGAATCTCACTTTGTCACCCTTGGTAGAGTGCTATGGTGTCACAGCTCACAGCAACCTCAAACTCTTAGGCTCAAGTGATTCTCTTGCCTCGGCCTCCCAAGTAGCTGGGACTACAGGCGCCTGCCACAATGCCCGGCTATTTTTAGAGACAGGGTCTCACTCTGGCTCAGACCGGTCTTGAACCTGTGAGCTCAGGCAAACTCATGAAGAGATATGTGATTTGTTTGAATTAATTGCTTTTGACAAAAAAGCACCATTACTAAGTATGAGCTTGGTGTGAGGATGAGTATCTTTGCTCATTACGAGCTTATGGGGAGTAGTAGAATAACTGCTTATAAAGTACAAAAGAAATGATTATTTTGAAAAGATGCATTGTTAGCAGTTTTCTTTCTTTAGTGACTAGAAGCACTTGAGAAGCAGTGGTTTGGTGACATAAACACACAACCTTGTGAGAAATATGTCTCTCCTGACCTGTTTGCAACTATCAGGCAAAAATCACATTCTTACAAATAGAAACCTGCTTGTGAAAAGATGTGCCATTTTGTGATTACTTTTTAGTGAATTGAAGTGTTTTACTAGGAAACACCATTACGTCAAGACCTAAGCCTCTTGTGGAAACTTGCATCTTAGCACATTAGGAGTTATAACACTAGTAGAATAACTGGTTCTAAACCACACGTGAAAGTGTGTATTGAACAGTTGCATTGTTAGCTTTTTTTTTTTTCACTTAATTGAATTGAAGCATTTGAGAAAGAAGTGGCATGGCGCCATGAACACACACCGTTGTTAGAGATACCACTGTTTTGGTTTGTATTCAAGCATCAGGCAAAGGACACCCTATGGCTCCATTGTACAAAGGGAAGGCTTCTTGTTGAAAAATGTGTAGTATGTGATTCTTGTCAGTGAATTGAACCATTTAACAAGGAAACACCATTACATTAGGACCCAACATGCTTTCTGTGTATATGTGTGCCTTCACCCATTAGAAGCTTGGAAGATCCATTAGAATAGCTGGTTCTAAAACACACATGAAAACATACATTAGAAAGATACTCACCGGTTACATGGTTTTCAAAAAGTGAACTGAAGTATTTGAGAAAGAGTAGTACAATACATGGATGCACCGCCTTTGTTAGAAAAACCTCTCTTGGCCTGTATGCAACTTTCAGGCCAAAAAGACCCTATAGAGCTATTATACAAGTAGTATCCTGTTTGTGAAAAAGCGTATCATGGGGCGGCGCCTGTGGCTCAGTGAATAGGGGGCCGGCCCCATATACCAAGGGTGGCGGGTTCAAACCCAGCCCAGGCCAAACTGCAACAAAAAAATAGCTGGGTGTTGTGGCAGGCACCTGTAGTCTCAGCTACTTGGGAGGCTGAGGCAGGAGAATCGCCTAAGCCCAAGAGCTGGAGGTTGCCGTGAGCTGTGACGCCACAGTACTCTACTGAGGAGGACAAAGTGAGACTCTGTCTCTAAAAAAAAAAAAAAAAAAAAGGAAAAGAAAAAGCATATCGTGATGTGATTTGTTTTAGTGAATTGAAGTGTTTAAGGAGGAAACATCATTGCATTAGACGCTAATCTCTTTGTTGTGAACACATGAGTCACATTAGGAGCTTATAATTCCCAGCAGAATAACTTATTCTACAACCCAAATGAAAGCATATTGTGGAAATACGCATTGTTACCAGTTTGTTTTCTTTAGTTCTTTTGAAAGTTTGAGAAGAAAGCAGTGTGGTAACATGAACACACTCCATTTTTAAAAATACATCTCTCTTGGCCTGTTTGTAACCATACAGAAAAATAGACCCTATCATTGCCTTCAACAAATGGAAGCCTGCTAGTAAAAGATGTGTCATAAAGTGATTTGTTTTAGTGAACTGAAGTGTTTAACAGGAAACACCATCACATTAGGACCCAGTATGCTGGGTGTAAATATGTGTGTCTTTGCCCATTAGGAGTTTATAAGGCCTACTAGAATAACGGTCTAAAACACAAAAGAAAGCATGCATTGGAAAGGTGCATTGTTAGCTGTTTTTTCTTTCTTTTTTTTGCAGTTTTTGGCCAGGGCCAGGTTTGAACCCGCCATCTCCGGTATATGGGGTTGGTGCCCTACTCCTTGAGCCACAGGCACTGCCCTAGCTGTTTTTTCTGAAATAAATTGAAGCATTTGAGAAAGAAGTGGTGTGGCATCATGAATGTATACTCTTATTAGAGACACATCACTCCTGAACTGTATCCGGTGTGTTTCAGAAGCAGGATTGGCCTGCTCCAAGACAGACATGACTGTCAAGTCATGTTTTTCCAAAGCCATGAGATTTCTAAGAGAACACAGGGAAAGCAGAGTATTTGGAGAAGCTCTTCCAGAGGCCCTCTGCTGGAGGCCTGAGCAAGTTTGAGGAATCTTACCAGAAGATCAAAGGGTTTCCTGGAGAATGTAATCACCCCCAACCTTGCTGCACCCTACCTCCACCCCACCTGCACCCACCTAAATCACAGTCCCTCTGTCTCAGTGGAAACAGTGGCAATCAATGGCTCCTCTGCTGCTTCCTGGTGCACCCGCATTCCCCACTTCCTCAGGAACACACAAAGTCTATATCCCAAAAGAATAAAATGGAAAGTGTAGACAAAATAAACGTCATCTTTCTTAAAAGGCCAAGGCCAGGCAAGGTGAACTAGCTCTCATCTTAGGAGAATCATGTAGCTGACACATTGGGCACTGACACTGAAGAGCTGGTTCTCTTCTTGGCAGAAGGCCTGCCAAGTCAGGTGGGCAGGATTATCACACCCATCCAGTAAGAAACAAGTGTGGCAAAGGAAATCCTCACAGAATGGATCCCCGAGAATGCTGCTGTCCTCAATGAAGTGAAAAATGTTTCTGTTTGATAAGACTGACCCAGAGGAACAAAAGCCCAGGCCAATGGAAAGCAGGGAGGTCATGAAAAGATGGGGGACACAGAATATAGGCTGGCACCCAGGCAGGGGAAATCACTACCAAGTGCCACTGGGATGCCACTGTGGATAGCTGATATAGCCTGAAAGGCCACCTTTGGAGGGAACAGTGTTCTCCCACCCTGTTCTCTGCTTCTCCATCATGCAGCCATGGCCAGAGAGGGTAAATGTGGCCTCAGGGCATCAGGGGAAGGGTGTTAGAATCTCTTTCCCAGCCATTTCTCCGCACCTCTCTTGCATGTACACACTGAGTTTGTAGAGAGGTGGTGGTTGCCACCTCCAGGACAGGCCTCTAGGCAATGGCTGTTACAGTGATGGCCGGCAGCGGTGTAGTGACTCAGGCCTACGCTGTGACAAGGTCAGCCTGAGCTCCCAGAAAGAAGACAGAGGTGGTGCCATCCGCAGCCGGCAGGCAGCGGGTATGGAGGGGGAGACTGGGCTTGGGTGTCTGGGAAGGTGGAAGGAGCCTTCACAGGACCGCGGGCCACACCCTCCGCATCCACTTCTCAAGACCCTTCTGAGCAGAGCTCTGGGTGCCCAGCAAAGGAGTTGTGCTGTGGATGCTGTCCCGGGGGAGGTGGTGACCTAGGGGCAGGTGGGTGGCGGGGATGGAGGCGGAGATGGACTGGGGTGTCTGGAAGGGAGGGTGGTTTTTTCACTTTCACCCCATGTTTTCTTTTTTATCTTCTTCTTTTTCATTTTTCCTTTTTTACCGTTTTTCTTCTTTTTTTCTTTTTACACATCAGACGGGTGATGTGCTGACCAAACTTTAAGAGCGAAGGCATATGAGCTAGTAAACAGACGATTATCACATTTAGGAACCACAAAAAGATCTAGTATGACTTTCTAAAAGTTCTTTTTTCATATATATATCTTATTAATTAAATATCTGCGCTGAGAACGCGCACCAGAATTTGTGAGCAAACCTGGGACTCAGCTGCAGATGCCAAGACCCTTGTGTCGACCACAAGTCAGCCTCAGTCCCAAGGTGTCTGCGGATGACCACATGTCTGTGACACACGTCCGCAGCGTTCTGAATTCGACCAGATGTCCGAGGCTGTCTTTGTGCCGAACACAACTCTAGGGGCCTGGCTTGGCCTCAGGGCCCGGCTTGGCGGCGGTGCCCGCATCACCACTAGGTGGCGCCTGTGGGTCAGTATTCTTCCCTCTGGAAGGGCGAAGTCCCACCGTATTCCTCCCCGAGTTTGTTTCCTCGGGTTGTTGACTTACTGTTACTTACTTGCTACATGACCAAAAGTATGGCTTTAAAAAGCTTTTCCCGGGAGGCGCCTGTGGCTCAGTGAGTAAGGCGCCGGCCCCATATACCGAGGGTGGCGGGTTCAAACCCAGCCCCGGCCAAACTGCAACAAAAAATAGCCAAGCGTTGTGGCGGGCGCCTGTAGTCCCAGCTACTTGGGAGGCTGAGGCAGAAGAATCGCCTAAGCCCAGGAGTTGGAGGTTGCTGGAGCGACTCCGCTGCACTCTACCGAGGGTGAAAAAGTGAGACTCTGTCTCTACAAAAAAAGAAAAAAAAAAAAACACCCAAAAACCCTTCTCCCCCATTTTTCTTGTATATCTTTTTGCTTTTTCACTTTTCCTTCATTTCCTTTTTTAAGCTTTTTTTCCTCGTTTTTTTCACATCAAACAGGTGATGTGTTGACCTGTTCCAGGGCAGAGGCACATCTCCCACGTGTGTGAACTGGAAGTCATCACGTTTATGAACCACAAAAGGATCAGGTATGACTTTTTTCCTTTTAACTTTTTATTTTTATATGTTATTAAACACTCGCACTGAGAACGAGCTCCTGAGTTCGTGTGTTACACCCAGAGTCAGCTGCGGATGCTGTGTCCCCTGTGTCTACTGCATGTTGGTTTTGGTGGCCACCGCACCAGTTGGTTGACCGGATGTCTGTAGCAGGTGGCCGCAGCGCCCTGCGGTCAACCAGATGTTTGTGGCAGACTTTGGCCTAAACACAGCCCAAGGGGTAGATTTGGTCGCCATGACAGGTGGTAAATAGGTGGCACCTATTCTTCCTCCTTGAGAGTGGGTGATGTCCCACCCTTGTACTCTTCCCCAATTTTGTTTCTGTGGATTATTGACTTGCTGCCACTTATTTGCTGTGGGGCCAAAGGTATGACTTTTTTTTTTTTTTACTTTTTTCTTCATTTTTCTTTTTTATCTTTTTTCTTTTCATTTTTCCTTCTTTCCCCTTTTTAATGCCTTTTTCCTCTTTTTTTCTTTTTTTCACATTGGAAGGTGATGTGCTGTCCAAACTTTGAGAACTCAAGCACATTTCATACATGTTTGTGAACAGGCAGTCATCATGCTTACCATCCACAAAAAAGATCTCGTATGACATTCTTTTATTATTTTTTTCATACACATATGTCATTAATTAAATGTCCTGCACTGAGAATGAGCTTTTTTTTTTTTCCTATTTTACCATGACTTATCAAGAAATGAGAATGAGCTCTTGAGGTCACATACCACCCTGGGACTTGGCTATGGTTGTCATGTCTCCTGTGCAGAATACATACTGGCCTTGGTCCGAGTTATGACTGCTGGTGGAACAGATGGCTGTGGCCAACTTCCGGCCAAAGACAGCTCTTGAGGCAGACTTGGCCACTATGGCTGCATCACCACTAGGTGGTAGCCGTGGGTTAGTATTCTTCCCCTGTGGGAAGGGGTGACATTCCACAACTCCCATTCCTCTCTGAACTTGTTTCTCCAAGTAGTTGACTTGCTCTTACTTGCTATATTGCCAGTGGTATGACTTATATTTTTTCTTTTTTCCCCTATTTTTTCTTTTTTTTCCTTTCTTCCTTTTCATTATTTTCTTTTTCTTTTTTTAGTTCCTTTCCCTCCCTTTTTCACATCAGACAGGTGATATGCTGAACAAACTTTGGGGCCAGAGGCACATCTAACGTGTGTGCAAGTACAGGCAATAATCAGGCTTATGAACCACAAAAGGATCTGGTATGACTTTTTTCTTTTTAGTTTTGTTAGTCAGCTAGAAATCCAGCTATCCTGGGGAGGAGAGACCTCCCTGCCAATCAACCAGTGCAAACTACAAAAGTACGGAGAAGACTCTCTAGCCTAGCAACAGGCACAATAGTCTTAAAGGTGACCTAGAACAGCCTTAAGTCTAAATATCATGTCATTAGCTTAAATCTACATTGTGGTCTACACTCTCCTCCTCAGTGGGCTCTCAGAGAGGCTCATGGGAGGGCCACATGCACAATAAGATTCTGGTTTCAAGGTCACATCTGAACAAGGTAGGCCCAACCCAGGCAATATAAAGGAGAACCCCTAGCCATATTCAAAGCCTTGTTTTGTCCCGAAAATGGTCAGCAGAGAACAGTGGCTGCCCCATGGAACTCTAAATCATCCCATCATTTTACAATTAGACCTCTTTTGCAAAATGGAAGGAAAATGGACCAAATATGGTATGCACTGATTTTTTTTGTTTATAGGAAAATTCTTAGTGGTGTAAGGTGTGTACAGAACTAAGTAACGCTGTGATATTAAGAGATCCTCCTCAGGTTCCCACCTGTTCCATGCTCCTCATACTCAGGGAAGCCTAGAGGGAGTCCTACAAAGAGGGGGTCATCCTGTCTTTACCTCTACCGGGGGGAGGATGGCTCAGCTCTTACCCTTGCTATAAATAACAGGAAGCTCGGACCAACCCTGGTCTTTAAGCCCTTTAGTTTAAAAGAAATAGGAAAACACTTTCTAATATATATCGAGGCTCAAAGCCACCAGGCAAAATGTGGTCAGGTAGTCAATTATTCCAAGGTCTCTGCCATAACCCAGGGACCCAAGGAAAACTCCATAGCCTTTCTGGATTGATTCTGAGAGGCAATAAAAAGCATGCCATTCTCAATCTTAATATCTATGAGGGATGAGTGCTATTAAAAAATAAATTATTGGCAGTGTCCATAGCTCAGTGGGTAGGGTGCTAGCCACATACAACAAGGTTGGCAGGTTCAAATCCGCCTGGGCCAGCTAAAACAGCAATAACAACAACAACAAAATAGCCAGGTATTGTGGTGGGCACCTGTAGCCCCAGCTACTTGGGAGGCTGAGGCAAGAGAATCGCTTAAGCCCAAGAGTTTGAGGTTGGTGTGAGCTGTGATGCCATGGCACTCTACGCATGGCAACAGCATAAGACTCTGCCTCAAAAAAAAAAAGGTGTTGATCCAGATAGCACCAGATATTAGGAAAAAAATTCCAAAAGCTTGTCAAGGACCTTACTACCTCCTTGGATGACATGGTGACTGCTAGTAATTCTATTTTCTGTAGCAGAACCTCTGAGTTTGAGTCTCAGGCTTGGGGAGGGAAAGAAGGAATGTGGCCAGGCATGAGCAGTTAAGGGCAGCACTGGAGCCCCCTTTTGGACCAAAAGCCAAAGCTTCCACCAAAGGAAGTGACCTCTGGTGCTTCATCTACTGATGGGAAGGGCATCAGGCCAAAGACTGCCCCAAGAACAGGCCACCCAAGTCCCCCTGACATTAGTGCCATCAAACAGGTCACTGAACTGTACTTTGTCCTATGAGACCCTTCCAGGAGGGGAGTTGGTCCCCAGGCTGGATTGTGGAACAATGAAAGAGACTGCAGGTGACCATCACTGGACTAGAGCCAAGGGTAACCCTCCTGGTGGCAAGTAGGCCAGTAAATTTCCTTCCTGATACGGGGGCCACCTGCTCTGTCCTCCTCACCTACCCTGGAAAACTAAATACTCAGTCCTGCATAGTCACCAGCGTTTCTGGGGTATGATCTGCCTATTTGAGGGTGAGAGTGATAGCAGCCTTATCTTTATTCATACTGGAGCATGGAGGAAATTAGAGATTGGGGACCCTGAGCCTTCCAAGAGAAAAACATCCAAGAGCAAAATAGAGCTTAGGATTTTAACTGAGCAAAGAAACAGCAGCTTAGCTTTAGTATTTTAATTGTAGCTTTGCTGACTAATATAAGGTGACGCGATTTTAACATTGGTAAAGTGGAACACCATTGATGGGGGTAGGGAGGGTGGGAGGGCACTGGGACCCTCTAGAGGAGGGGATACTTGTTTGTTCCAGTCAGTTTGGCTCCTTCTGAGGTAATTGTCCTTGCCTAGAAGTGAGGAAGGGAGCGAGTATCCTTCAGATACCAATTCCACCTGGGAGACCTTGCCCAGTAGGGGAGTAGGGAGTTTACATTAGCCTTTTCATTTCCAAATAAAGTTACATTAACCCCTTCATTCCCAAATGGAGTTACATTAACCTTCTCAGCAGCTGAAAACCGTATATTCCCTTCCCATTCTCCCGCCATTTCCTAGCTTGTTAGGCATTCTTTCCAAAAATTGGGACTTTTTAAAAACGTCGCAGGACCCAGGACAAATTGTTAAAAATCAGGACTGTCCCGCCAAAAGCAGGACGTCTGGTCACCTTAGACGAATAACAAGTCTGTGCAATTCTTGCAGAAAACAGATTTGAGGAAGGAAACAGAGACTGCGACTTGCCTGCCTAAAGGTTAAGTGGCCCAGGCACATTGGAATGCAAATGGCTGTGTGCTTGCAACTTGGCAAGGTCTGACAAGTAATCAATCTAGCCTGGGGGCCTCAGCTTTCCTTGTAAAGGGATATGCCTCCAGCCCTGAAGCGGGATGGACCTCAGAAACCTTAGGAGAGAGCTGGGTATTGCAAAAGTTACTGGGAACAGTGTATGCAACCCAAACCCACACAAACAGAGGGAGGACCTCTGGGGCAGAGAAGAGAGGAAGGACTTCTTTCTCTCCCAGCTTCCAGTGTAGGCTTTGGCATCAGCCTGTTTGCCCCACAGGAGAACAAGGGGTCTAACAGCCCCTTTGGACCCCTAAAGAGCAAGGGCAACCGAGCGTGGGCACATCCTTTTTGCCTTACGGTTATGTTCCTTGTTTCTCAAGAATACATGGGCTAAGTATAGTTAACTATCAATTAAGGAAGAAGCATATCTATACCTACAGTTGCTATGTATGTATGACACAAATAGCCCACACAAACAGCTGATGTTTGCTCAGATCTCCATAAGCTCACAGACCCACTCACCTAAAATTGGCTTTGAGAGAACTCAATAAAAGCTGAGTGGTCAAAGCACAGGGCACTTCGATTGCATCTCATCTTGGATAATAAGGGACCCCTTGGCCTATCTTTAAATTTTCTCTCTGTTTTATGTCTTTATTTTCCCCATTTGGTTGATTCCACTTTACTAGGTACCCCATGTTCCTGGTGAGGGGCTGGTCCCCAATACTGGAGACCACTAAATTCACTATGGTAGCTTCCCTTACTATTAGGAACTTCCATGGGGTCTCAAATAGCTGCATATTAAAGCTCCAGGCTCTGTTTATAGGAAACCCTCACTTAAAAATTGAGACCTGCTCTGGACTTAACCCTACCATTCTTCTTCCAGAGAAGAGACAATAGTAGAACCAAGCAGGCTAGTGCATGATTGTGAAACGGTTATACTCTACCACCTCCCCTGAGCAGATCTATCCTTAGTCTTCATCCCTAAAGCCCATCAGTGAGAAACCACACAGGAGGAAGAACCAGCAAAGAAACACAGGCAATGTGAAGAATCAGAACAGATCAATTCCTCCAAGGGATTGCAATGTAGCTACCATAGAAGATCCCAATTATAAAGAAATTGTGGAAATGAAACAGAAATGGAAATCAGATTATCAATGGCAAAAATGATGAAGGGAATTGAAGGGAAAGTGGAAAATTGGCAAAATGAAATCCAAAAATTGACCTAAGAAATTAACAAAGGACAAGACAAAGCCTCTCAGGATCTGGACAAATTTAGAAAGAATATAACAGAGCTTAGAGAAGTGAAGAAGCCTTTCATTCAGTCTTTCATCCATAGGGAGTTTCAATATGTAGCAGACATTTCAATAACAGATTAAACCAGAAAGAAAAAAGAATATCAGACCTGGAAGATAACACTCTCAAGCTAACCCAGTTCTTTAAAGAGGCAGAAGAAAGGAAAGTAAAAGTAGAGCAATCTCTTCAAGAATTATGGGACTATACAAAGTGTACAAACATGAATTATACGTATCCCTGAAGGAGAAGAAGAGAGTTCCAGTGGTATAGAAGCCACTTGGAAGGTGTTGCATACACCTTGTAGACTGCTATTGAACCCTTGGTCATCCCAGTTCAAAAAAAGCATCTCCTAGACACATTGTAATTAACTTGGCAAAAGTCAAAATGAAAGAGAAAATTCTATAAGCTGCCATGTATAAGCAGCACCTGACCTACAAGGGCAAATTCATCAGGATGACTGGGGATTTTTAAAGTGAAACTTTACAAGCCAGAAGAGAATGGGTTCCCACTTTCAATCTGCTCAAGCAAATCAACTGCCAGATAAGGATTCTGTGTCCTGAAAAACTAAACTTCATATTCAGTGCATAAATCAAATCTTTTACTGACAAACACACATTGAGGAAATTTGCCACTACCAGACCTTCTCTGCAGGAAGTACTCAGACCAGTACTATATGCAAAACAACACAATGGATCACTAGGCAAGTAATCATTTGGAATCAAAAAGATAAACCCTAGCTTCCACAATGGCCCAACTGCTAAAACAAGGCAACAAACCTCAACACAACAAGATGAACAGAAATTCTCCCTACTTAATCAATTCTCTCAATAAATGTGAATGGCTTGAACTCCCTAAGGAAGAGGCATACGCTGGCAGATTGGAGACAAAAATATAAGCCAAGTATTTTCTGATTTCAGGAAACACATTTAACCCATAAGGACAAATTAAGACTCAGGGTGAAGGGTTAGAAAACAATATTTTAGACGAATGGAAAACAAAATAAAGCAGAAGTAACAATCCTTTTCACAGATACAATTGTCTTTAAATCTACAAAAGTAATGAAAAACAAAGATGGACACCATATATACTATGAGAACACTATAACAAGAGGACGTTTCAATCCTAAATATTTATGCAC